CAGACATCTACAGGCACCTATTTTTCTAGCCTCTGGTGTCCCTTACTATATGGCCTCCATACATAAACCGCTAGTTAGTTGCCCCTCAAACTACAATAAATATCTAAGATAAGGAACACTGGGAGGGCCTCTTACAAGGATCTGGCCTGAAGAATCTTCCTGCAACTCTGCCAACTTCCTCTTTCCTTTCCTGAATTCTGCTTTTCTTTATACATGCCAAGTCTGTTCTGGCTCAGGCCTAGGTGTCTGCACTTGCTCATCTCTATGCCTGGGACCCTCCCCGAGTACTTGACTGGCCCATTCCTTAAGGTTTGTTCAGGCCTCTGCTCAAATGTCACCTCGGAGGCTTACACTGCCACCATTACCTAGCTTTATCTTCCTTCCTGCTGTCTGATGTCATATTGTAGCTTTGTGCAATTTCTGTTTTTCCTACCAGAATAAACACTGCGAGAGCCAAGACCTCATCTGTTCAATTACCCACTATCTGAAAACCTAGAACGGGCTGGCACATTGTATGTATGTGCTGAACGAACACCTCAATTTAGTGAGAGCTTACATCACAGCTGCAGAACCCATCCCCAATGGAAGACATTTAGGACTGTGGGGTCTCACCCCGACTTTCAGGGCCTTCCTTGACTCTCCTGGCTCCCCTCCCAAGCACTCCACATGGAAACTCTCCAACAACCAAGCCAGTACCCTCCCAAGCAATTTGACTCCTCTCTGTGACCCCCTCCCTGTGCTCCCTGTCTGGCAGGCCCTCCCAAAAACTACCTCCCTGGCCTGAACTCCTAAGCTTCTCTGATACTCTACAGCACATGTGTCAAACACAAGGCCCGCGGGCCAAATCCATCCCACCAGGCCTTGCAATGTGGCCCACACCGCGCTGTCATCATTGCACTCCGCTGCGTTTCCATCACAATGACAGTTTATGACTGTTCAGTAAACCATTCGGCCTGCGATTTAGGCTGGATTTTAGAATTTGGCCCCTTCTCTGATTGAGTTCGACACCCCTACCTACAGCCTGGCCCAGAATCTATCTCCAGGAAATGTTTGCTAACGGACAGTTGTTTGAGTGTAAGAATTCCCCTGGACTTGAATACTGTTATACCAATCATAGACTACTGATTGAAGGCAGGGGTTGGGTGGAAAGTAGGAAACAGCAAAAAAAGGCCAACTTGGGAACGCAGAGGACAGAAACACAAAGGACGATTGGGAACGCAGGTTGGATTTGGTGTTTGTAAGGGCAGGATGCTCCAGCCTTGGCTAGCCAGAGGCACAGGATCCTGCAGTTTCATCCTCTGATGTGCCCCTATCAGACCAGAGTTACTTCTGGAAGCCAGGCAGGCAGGGAAATGACGGACTCACACACAACAGTTGCCAATGGAAACGAAGGTCCAAGGGAGCAGGAAATCCCACATGTGAATGTGAAACCTGCCATTTTATTTATTTAATATATTCTTATTGATTTCAGAGAGGAAGGAAGAGGGCGAGAGAGAAACATCAATGATGAGAGAGAATCACTGATTGGCCTCCTCCTACATGCCCACTACTGGGGATCAAGCCAGCAACCCGGGCATGTGTCCTAATTGGGAATCGAACTGTGACCTCCTGGTTAATAGGTCCACACTCAACCACTCAACCACCGCAGCCAGGTAAAACCTGCCATTTCTGATGCTGGTCCTTAATTCAAACTAGCCAGAATGACAAAACACATTGCAGTCTATTCATCCTATCAATGAACCTCCTCCACCTGTTTCTACTTTTCCAGCATTCAACAACACCTCTCTCTATATGGAGCACGCCCAGTGATCTGTAACCAAACACAAGGCCTGCCTGGCAGTGCCTGTGAGGTCAAGGCCTGCGGCTGGTACAGGGGCTCCACATTGAATTTACCTTCATTGTGCTGAGCTCTCCGTCTCTCATCCCGGGGTGTTCTGGTTCCATCAATTTTCCTAGAAGAGGGATAAAATGGGCACATGTTATCTCAGGCTCCATTGGTCTAAGCATTTATTACAAAGTCAGACTTGAAAATGACCTTTGCCAAACATACATATTCATATGTAGAAAGAGGAAATGATACTTTATACTAAAGAAACGAAAACAGACCAAAAAATATACCAAGTGCCTATTGGGTGCTCAACTGCCTGACTCCTACTCCACAAAACCTTTCCTTCCTTCAGCCCCACACCAGGCCCTCCCAGTGTCCCCTGCTCCTGGGCCCAGGTCTCCTGCACATACGGGGAGTAGGGATGGGTCCGAGGTGCAATCGTCCTTTGCGTTCCTGTCTGAAGCACGTCCTGGGGTGTCATCATGACATAGAACTGGCCTGTAGGGAAAGCCAGGTTAGTGCTAAAACTGAGGGCAGAGTCAGAAATGGCTGGGGAATCCCTCCCTGCTAGGCCTGTTGCCTCCCCTGCCTTCCACCTCGGCCCCTTCCTCCCTTTACCTCCGGCCTGCAAGCTCTGGTCTGTGGTCTGTACCGACACAGCCGTGGTATCTCCCACACTGGACGCTGGGAAATAGGCAAATCGTGCCTCCCCACTGACAGCCTCAGCTGCTGGGCTGCCGCCATTGCTGAAGGGATTTTGGATTACAGCCTGGGGAATAGGACACAGAGGCCACCCTTAGCCACCTTGTTCCCCAAACCATCCCCTTTGCCCTGTTTGATGGATACTGCATCCTCTATGGAAGGTGGGACCCTTTGTATCTACTACGCTGCCTATGTCTCAGATGGCCCCGGAACTTGCAGACACTCAGCCATCATTTGGTGAACCAACTGATTTTTTCCCCTGAGAAAAGAGACTTTCCTATTACCATGATCCCAAGTCTAAAAAAAGAAAAAACGATGTTTCTAAGACCTTGCCCAAGATTTCACTGGGCAGAACAGGAATTTAACTCACAAAGCCGGACAGCCTGAAGGCAGCATCTGTGTTGCACATGCTCCACCCATTGGGACTCCCCCAAAACGGTCAATGTCCCCTCTCCATCCCCCCCAGGCATTGCTGAGGACCTACCAGTGGGAAGGGTGCTGCAGGACCTGGGGGCACAGAGGCAGCAGCAGGGCCGGGGCGCTGGGCCGCCCCATCCACACCCACCTGGGTCACAGCCTGCTGCCCCCCAGCAAAGGCAGCCGTAGACACGACGCTGACGGCGCCCGCTGTGTCGCCCTGGCCATCCAGCTGACCATCAGTCACCTGGACTACGCGGTATGTCACCTGCAGGGGGCGGTAGAGCAGCGAGACCAGCGATAGGGCCCAGGCAGGGCCCAGGTCCGAGCTCCTCCCAACCTGACCCTCCGCGGGCCCGCGGCCCCGGCCCCCTCACCTGTCCTCCATTATTCTCTGTGCGGAACTGGTACTGGATGTTGTGGTCGCTGAACGCCGCCTGCTGGACGCTGGCGATAGCCACGGCCGTCTGCTCCTCCGCCCCGGGGCCGTCCCCGCCTACGGCCAAAGGAGGGTAGGGGCGCCGGTCAGCGGTCGGAGGGCCTGGGCGCCCCCGTGCCGCCCCGGGCGCAGGCCGCGGCCCGGCGCCGCGAGCACTCACCCTCCTGCAGCTCGACGCCCTCCTCGGCCTCGGGTCCTTTGTCGTGGCTGCGGGGAGGGCGGGCAAAGGGGGTCAGGGCCGGCCGCGCCCCCGCCCCTCCGCTCAGGTGCAGGGCCCCCGTCCCGCCCGGCCCTTTCGGGGGCGGGAGCACCGCTAGGACCCGGGGCTGGGACCCTAGCACGGCCCCCCTCCCTCGCGGCCTCCATTTTGAGCTGGGCCCGGCGGTCGCTCGGGATCATGGCGGCCCGCCCGCCAGGCCGCAGGGCCGGAGCGGGGCGCGCGGGGGCAGGCCGGCCGGCAGCCTTACCTGGCGGCGGCAGCAGCAGTAGCCGAGGCAGCGGGATCCAGACCCGGGTCCAGCATGTCCATGGGGGGGTGGGGGCGGGGGGGGGCGCGGGGCCCGGGGGAGGGGAGGGGGTGGGGGGAGGGAGGGAGGGGAGGGGGCGGGCGGGCGGCCGGGGGGGCCCCGAGCCCGGCGCTCACGCCGCGCGGCAGGAGGGGACGGAGGAGACACGGGAGCCGCTCGCGCTGATCACGGGGACAAACAGTGGGGTCATGTGAGGAGGAGATGCCGCCGCCGCCGCGCTTTTCCTGCAGCCGCCGCCGCGCCGCCTCCGCCCGCCCTCCTGCCGGCTCGCGGCGGCTCTGGGCTCCGGGACGCAGCGGCCGCCCCCCGCCCGCTGCACGCGGCCCTCGGCCTCCTTCCCGGAGCCGCTGCCGCAACTTTTTTTTTTAAATCCGGCCCGACCTGGACGGCCGCCGCCTCCTCTGGATCGCCGGCTCGAGCGTCAGCCGCCCGGCCGAGCCCAGTCCCGCGGCGGATCGCTGCGGTACCGGCCGCCGCTTTCTATTTTTTCCTCCTTTTTTTTCCTCCTTTACTTGAGCTGCGCGCGCGCGGCGGCGGCAGCGCGATCCCGGGCCGACGCGCGGGGAGGGCAGCCCCCGGGGAACGCGCACGCTGTTTGTCTCCGATGGCGGCGGGCACGCGCCTGCCGGGTCTCGGCGGGGCGCAGGGTCGCCACCGCCCCCGGGTTGCCAGGCACTCGCCGGCGGGCCGTGGGTGGAACGTGGGCCCGGATGGAACGCCGGGGGGCGAAGCGGGCCGCGGGTTTGGAGACCGCAAAGTCGTCGAAGGGGGTGGGGGGGCGGGGGGGAAGGGCGCGTGTGAATGGAGTGGAACGGGAGTGGAGCGCGCATGCGCGCCCCCGTTTTGGCGAAAGTGCGCGGAGGCCCGAGGCGCATGCGCACGTCCGGACGGGGCTGGGGCGCGCACGCAGGCCGGGCGGAGCCAGCGGAGAACGTCGTCCCCCTGCGGGAGGCGGCTGGCCGAGCGAGTCCCGCCCCAGGCGCCAGGCACCAGAGCCCGGAGAGAAAGGCTTGGGACTCTGTGCCGACACCCAGGGCAGCTCTTCAGGGCCCCACCTCACGCAACAAAACAAGCGCTTCCCTCCAAATTAGGCCTTGTGATCGTATATTTTATTAGACTTAGAAGAATACCAAGTTCCTCAAATTAAAAAAAAAAAAAAAGTACAAAACTCCATACAAAACATGAGATCAGACGACTAAACTTTCCCGACTCAGGGCCAAGTTCTGCAAAGGAGAAAAAGGAAAGGGTGTGAGCATGTGACTGGAGAGGGGGCAGGGTGGGTGTGCAGGCCAGGGAAGGCTGTTCCTCACCTTCTTGAGCCTCCGCTCCCGAGAGGCCTGGGAGTCGGTCTCGGAATAAGGGGGAGGCGCTGGAGGGTAGTAGTCGTCCTCTTCCTCCCTGTAAGGTCTCCTCTCCGCTGGCCCCTTCCTCCTCAAGGCCTCTTCCAGAAGCCGGCCGTCGTATTGGGGGTCCTTGGACCTCTCGTTCCGAGCATCCCGAGAGCGGTGGGAGCGGTTCCTCGGGTCAGCACTAGGGCGGTCTCTAGACCTGAAGTCATCGAAGTGGGGTTCCTGGGAGTGTGGAAAGCCCCTTGGGTCTTCTTGGTCGTAGAGGTCGTCACGGCTGCGGCTTCGGGGGTGTGCATAAGCTCGGCCTCTCTTCCCATTATTTGGGGGAGACCTCCTCCCTGATTCAGCAGAGCCTGGCCGCGTGAGGTCATCCAGAGCATCCACAGAGCGAGCCCGGGGACGCCCGGCCCCCCACCCACTCTTGGGCCGTTCTGTAAGGGGCTCTTGCTCCCATCTCCTTGGACTCCGAGGGGAGTGGCGACCCCATTCCTCATCCTGGATTGGTGGGAGGGCAGGGCCGCGGGAAGGCCGTGATCTCCAGTCGTCTTCGTGAAGGGAGGTGACTTCACTCATGGCTGTAGGGAAGGGACATGTCACTGACTGCTGGGAGGTCAGGACTTGATGCCAGGAGCTCTAGGGTCCACCAGTGTTACCACTGGCTCATACTCTCTACAGGGCCCTAGACTTCTCTCATGTTAAGGGATGATATGCAGTGTCCCATACTCACTGGCAATGATAGGGAAGGAGGTACTATGTCCAGGATTTGCAAGCAAACATCCTTGGGCCAGGTAATTAGGGAGACATGTCCCACCCCCACCTCTGCAACCCCTCAAAACTCCAAGGTTCCTCACCTCTCTCTACACGGCTGCTGGGGGGGCCAGGTCGAGAAGGGTCAAAGTTGGCCAGTTCTTTCTCCATGTAGTACAGGACTCGCATAGAGTCATCCTGCTGGCTGGCCTGAATTCTGTAGCCACTACGGACTTCTAGAGACAGGAGATGGAGATGATCAGTTTTGGTGCTGACCCAGTCCCCCTCCCTTACAGGCATGTTCAGCATAGTAACACTTGGTTCTTACCCGAGGACACACTGCTGTCTGCATCACGAAGCAGGGGTACCTGGGAGCTATAGCCACCTACTGGGGGAGACTGGCTGTCAATGGCTGCTCCCCTGGAGCAAAGTCCTGCATTCCCAGCCCCCTTCCCTGCCCCAGTCCCACACTCAGTGCCCAAGAGCCCAGCCAATCCCTGCCCTAGTTGCCCCTGGCTCCCCCAGACCTCACCTGAGCTATTCTTGTCGAAGTCTCCAGCGTATCCATTGTAGACAGTGCCCATAGGAATCACGGCTGCTGGGGGTGGGGTCTTGGCAGGAGAAAGGTAAGCATAGGTGCTAGGGGCGTAGATGCTCGGGACACCTGAGGTGGCTGCTTTGCCAGCAGCATACACTAGTAAGACACACAGAGCATGAGCTGGTGGCCAGGAGCCACACTGCCCTTCCCTATGGTAACAGGACCTTCTCCCCATCCCTAGTTGTGGAGCCTCCCTGGGGACTTGATTTCTGTAGGTCCATAATCGAGTCCACACCTCCTGTGTGATTCCTCACGGAGCTTTGAGGACAGGGGTATACATGCAGCCTGCAGCCCCAATCTGGCAGGACATGTTTTCTGTAGCAGGGATGGTTTACCAACATTTGTTGACGTTTTTACATAAAACCCCAACTCTCTAGCCACCTTACCAGAAGATGTGGCCACCTGGGGCCTGCATTCTCAGAGCAAGGGGAGAAGATAAACAAACCCATGAGCTGGACCCACAGGACAAAGCATTCCAGTTGGCAGCTGAGTTCCAGCTTTAGAAAACAAATCATCTAGGGGTAGAGGAATTCCATACCTGCTCCCCTCTCAGGCCTGCTGGATCCTCCCCATGGAATCTTCCAGACCTCAATGTCATGGGGATTATCTCGTGTTTTCAATTTCTGGGCTGTACCCACTAACTCTGCCTTCACCCCTCCTGGTTCTAGGCTTGACAGCTCAAGGGCAAATCCTCCCTGCTGCCTTCCTCCCAGGCAAGAGGCTGAGTTCTGGTGGCTGCTCTTGCAGCAGTCACTGTGCCTAGGCGAGTTGTTTCTTCCTTGGGCCTCTTAACAAGAAAATGGGGTTGGGGTAGGGAGTAGGGCATGGAGATAGGCTCAGAAAGATCCCTTCACTGCTGATTCAGTTGAGAAGCAAAAGGCTCAGTAGTTCCCCTAAAAGCCCCCCATTAGCTCAGGTGATTGGCTCTTTATAATTTGCTGTGGGATTTGCTGCTTTCAGATGGCCCAGGAGTGCTGTGGCTGTCACTATGGCTGTGGAATAATGCAGCCTCTGGTAGGGAATTAATGGGGCCTCCATTTGGAATAACAGGGATTCAGAATGGAGAGAATTTGCAGTCCTGGCCCCAGCCTTGACCTAATTTGTGATATAATTGCAAATTCGGTTAGAGCTCTTGGGAGTCCCTTTCCACCTGTGAAATGGACTAACATCCACCAGGTAAGCCAGAAGCTCTCAACTAAAAATGACAAGAAAAGTGATAGCTTAAGTCCCCAAATAGCAATTTTTTCCAGGGAGTGATATTTTGAGGAACCAGTTTGCCCACCACTGAGCCCAGTGACCATAGAATTAGTTGGCATGGAGTGAGTCACAGCCCTGTGCTAGGGACGCTCAGTCTTCCCTTAATGCTCACGACACCCCTCAATGAGGCAGGAGAAACTGCTCTGAGGTGTGAGTGGCAGGGCTCTGATTTGCTCTCTGGCCCTCGGTCACCGCCAATGCTGACAGCAGCAATGTCCAATGGCTAGAGGGTGTGGAACACTTTCTGTAGGCCGAATCCTGCACTAAATGCTGGACACACCAGTTTCCCACATTCACCCTATACAGAGGGCTCTGCCACAGCCCCACTTTACAGAAGAGACTAAACGAGGGGAATTTACTGGGCTTCTAAGCAGGTAAGGAGGCAAGCCAGGCCTCAAATCTCCACCTCAAAAAATCGCTCGATTCAACTTTTAACGCAGCTTGGACTGCATTATACTGGAATCGTGTATAAGTTTTAAATGTAAGTACACAAACATACATCTGCCTGGAGTACATGTGCCTATTTTGTTTGCTACCTTCCCCACTTCCATTCCCACCTCTCCAGGTGCCACTCATGTGCTAGACATATCTTTAAAAATAGTACCCAAACGGTTGTGTGGATGAGGTTTTTAATTTGCTTTAATTATGTGATGCATTAAACCTCGTTTGGTTTCTTACCTTTTCTCACTTAAGATTTTGTTTTTAAAGGGAGATTTACTCTCTAGTGACTGTTTTGTACTATTTGAGTTTTTCTTACCATGCATATAGGTTATACTTTCAAAAGAAAACCTCAAATGAAGAATCAAAATACATGAAAAGTTGAAGTATATAAATAAAAATCTAAACCTGCTGGTCTTCCTTGACCCACTTTCTCCCAAATTGCTCACCTCATAACCTCCAGACCAGTAGCACCTCCTCCCCTTGGACCCAGGCAAGTTGCTGAATGGGGGTGGTCACTCAAGGGGCACTCACAAGCCTCTGGGCAGCAGCACTTGTCTGGGCAGCAGGGGCACCTGACGTAACAGCAGCAGGTGTGCGGGCAGCACTGACACCAGCAGATGCCCAGGAGGAGGAAGACAAGGAAGACAGCTAGGCAGACAACAACCACGAACAGCCAGTCTGCAGAGAGATGGGAGAGGCCCTGAGCCAGGAGCCTGGGTGGGAACAAGGACACAGCAGGGCAATGCAGAGAGGGGTGGGCGAAGCTATCTGCAAAGCTTGTCAGGGAAGCTGTAGCTCTTGCTGGAGTCTCCATGCCAGAAGCTGGGGCGCAGCTACAGAGGGCTGCCCAACTCGTCTACAACTCAGGCCAATCCCAAAGGAACTCGCCTGGACTCAGCAGGGCAAGGCAGAAAAGGAGAGGTGACCTAGCCACAGCAAGTCAGGCTTCCTCAGGGACAGAGAGCCAGCTGCCCCGATCTCAAAGCCAGAAGAGCACCAAAGGCATCAGTCACAGGAGCCTCCTGCCTACACCCCAGGCCCACCCTCAGCCATCCCTGCCCACCCCAAAGCCCAGAGCCAGGTCACTAGATGCCATGAGTTGGGAGTCGGGCAAGGTTAGTGGGGTCCACAGCGAGCGGCATTTAGGGTGGGGAGAATTCTTAGAAGCAGTAAGTGGTGTGTAAAGGCCTCCACCCCCATACCTTCCATGGGCCCCGCCTGAAAACCAGGTAAGAGCTCAGCCACCCCCGAGGTCCTGCCTGGAGGGACAAAAGAGAGACACATTATGCTGGCAAGAGCCAGCCCAGGCTGCCCCTCTCCAGAAGCCCAGCTCCAGGCTTATCAGGTGAAGGTGTGCCTGGAAGCATCAGATAGGTTGGTGGCCTAGGAGGGTCATAGCACTTGGTTCCTGCCCTCACCCGACCCCCCACCCACATAAAAACAGGGCGCTGTTTTCCAGAAGGCTTCCATCACATAATTTACCCTCTCTCATGCCTCAAGGGATTCTGTTGCCCAAAAGGGGTCCCCCTCATTTCCCATGGGCTCTGCGGGTGTGAACTGAATTTGAGCACTTCGTCTTTTCCACATACATGGGTCCTACTGCCCCAAAGAGTTGCATCCCATGTGATAAGGACAGTCCTGGTCCATCCAGCATAATAGGCAATGTCTTAGGGCCCTTGAAAACATTTTTATTTTTAAATTGGAAGAAAATATATAAGAATACCAAATATATAACAACAAATAGTTTTATAGCAAGGTAATCCTATGTATATGTGTGTGTGTATATGTGTGTGTGTATGTTTTTTTGGGTTTTTGTGTGTGTGTTTTTAATGCAGAGGAATAGGCCCATGAAGGCAAAAGTGCCTATAGCCCTAAAAGTTAGTGTGGCCTTGGTTCTTTAGTCCACGAGGGTCCCATCTTGGTCCATGCATTCTGTCCCATCTGCAAGTCTTACGGCCCAGCTAGTGCCTTCCCTCAGGTGCCATCAGTGATGTGTATATCGCAGGGGCATCTCTATACCCAGCTCTCCACCAACCAACCCCTACCCAGAGCTCATACACTCTGTGCCACGTGCCCCACTGAGGGGCTTTCCACCACCCAAACCAGCAGTTCTCAAAGTGTGGACCTGTCTCCAAAGCCAAACTAAATATTTTCATAGCACGAAGCCATCATTTGCCGTTTTCGCTCTCACTGTCATGACAATCATGTAGGGCTGTCCAGAGGCTGTGTGACACGTGATGACACACCATCGCTTTGATGGTGAAGGACTATGTCCTTGTGTATCTTGCTTTAAAAATTGTCCAGTTTTCAATCTCTATGATGTTAACCAACTACAGATATAACTCACAGAAATACAAACACAAACTCTTTTGAGAGCCTCAGTAATTTTTCAGAGAGTAAGTAGGTCCTGAGACTGCATTTTGAGAACTGCTAATGCAGACCGTACATTTTACCAAGGACAAGCAGGGGTTCTCTGGGTCACTGGTGCATGCATTCTGTCACCCACATGTGAACTGTCACATGGTCTCAGCACCCTGCTCCCTCATCATGTGTGCTCATTCACACATGTTTCCTTGTATCATGCACATGATGCAGTGTGAAGCACAGCAACATTTCACATATAGCACGTCACTCGAGACTATATGTGTTGGCTGAGAATAGAGCATCTGGCTAATGGCAACATCCCTTCCATACATGGTAGAGGGGCCTCATGGCCAAACAGGCTCTTGGTGGCTATCCCACCCTGCACCTGGGCATCTGGACGGGCCTGGCCTGAGGGAAGGATTCACTGTCTAAGCCACAAAATGCCATCCCAGCAGGCAGAGCGCAAGGTTCCTGTGCTTTGGCAAGGGCCTCTGGGGTCAGATGTGGCCCTGGAGATGTGACAGGTAGGTCTAGCTCCCTCTCAATTACACAAACCATCAACCCTCCTCATTAACTGCCAACCAAATCTGACCATTTCTGTATTTTTAAAAAATGGGCCAAGAAGAGATCTGGCCCCCCATTCTTTCCGCTTAGTTTGGCTGTGGCTCACCTGAAATGTTATGTGAGGGAGTCTCTGCCTAGGGTGCAAGGCACAGGTAAGCTCAAGTGACTGATGGTGCCATGTGGGGAGAGCAAAGCAGGCGACAGAGCCCAGAGAATGAGCTGGAGGACAGAGGGAGACATGCACAAGTGGGAGGAGAGGCCCTCTCCCCACCCGCCCCTTCCAGGCCCCCAGGGCCCGCCCACTCACCCAGGACGATGAGCTCTGCGTAGGCCTCGTTGTTCCCCTGGAGGTCCTGGGCTGAGACCACGGAGCAGTAATACACACCACTGTCCCCCCAAGCCGTCTGGTCAAAGGTCAGGTCAGCATCTGTACCGGGAGGAGAGTGTGAAGCCACAGAGCCGTCAGGGAATGGGGCTGCAGGTGCGCAGGCAATTCAGACCAGGCAGTGCTTCCTCCTAGGCTTTGTATTAAACACTGACGTGGGTATTCCAAGAGATCTGTGAGGTGCGCAGTGTTACCTTTCCCACGTCATAGGTGAGATGACCTGACCCGCCCAAAGTTGTCCAGCTTATCAGTGGCCTTGACTCCAGAGCCAGCAACTCAGACTGAACAGCCATTTTCTCTACCTCTCACAGCAAAAGTTACTGCCCCCAACGTGAACTACCAGGGAGCCTGGTAAGGAAGCGAAGGTGAGTAGCTCAGATTCTAGGAATCAGAATACATGTCAGCCTGAGAAGAAATGGGGTATGTGTGTGTGTGAGGGGGAAAGGCCTGGTTCCCTAATCCATCTACCGTCAGCCCCCACAATCTTGGTCGGGCCCAGGGCTTGGGGACGCTCAGGTATGAAGCTGCTCAGGGCAAGGAGCCTGTTAATTACACCAATAATTAAAGTCCGTCAGCTTTTCCAGTTTCCTCTCTATGCCTCAGGCCCTAATTAGTTAAATCCCTTCAGGTATGCACCAGTGTGGGGCAGGGTGGGACCCAGCTGGCAATAGGAACACGCCACCGCCAGCTTCTTCCCAAAAGCTCTGGCACTCGGGCCTCCGATGACTTGCCTACCATACTGCCCATGTACCGCTGCCCTTCTCCATGACGGCCAAGGGCAGTAACTGTGTGTGCCCATCTGCAGCATCTGGCACTCCCCAGGGCATCAGCCACTTGCCAAAGAAATGAAAAGAACGGGAGCCTTCCTCCTTTGGAAAGAAGAGCTCACATCCAAAGACTCTCCTTTCAATGTCTGACTCCACCACTCCAAAGCCTTACCCTGGCCCACAGGGCCTTGGTATGATCTGGCTCCCGGACACACCAGCCTCACCCCCACCAATCTCCTTCACTCACTGCTCTGGACTCTGGCCTCCTCACTGGGCCCGGCATGCTGGCCCACACCTGCCTCTGCTTGCACCTGTGCTAGTACCTCTGCCTGGCACTGCGTTCTCAAACCCTGGCAGGGCTAGTTCCATTCTACTGGCACAGCTCCCCCACCCACTGCTACACTGTATCAGCCAGTTAGAGGCCGAGCACTGCGGATCCCACCCAGGAGAATGTGAGCTCCACGCAAGCAGAACCTGCCCTCAGTCCCTGCTGAGTCCCGAGCGCCCGACACAGGGACTGGGCAATGTACCCCTTCCCTCCTACCGTTGACATCCCTTAGCTTTTGTAGTCTGTTCTAGCAGTCTAGGCACCTGGTTTTAGTCTAGGCCCTCAATACATTCAACATTTCACATAATTACTGAAAGCATCCCATGTTTCAGACAGTATCAGAGGCATGTGGTATACTCGACAGCAGCCATTCTCAAAGTGTGATCCGTGGGTCCTGTGGTTCCCCAAGACCTTACCAGAGGATCCCAGAGGTCAAAGTTACTTGCATAATAATACTATGATGTTATCTGCCTTTTTCACTTAATCTCTGAATGTACTGTGGAGGATTCAGAGGCTAGATGACACATGCTATCACAATTTCTACTCAGCCAGACCTCAAGGAGATGAGCAAAATTATAAGCAACAATGCAATTTTCATTAAAGTATGTTATCCATATTAAGTTATGAAGAGTTTATCACTGTCAGCTTAAATATTTTTTTAAACTTCTGTTTGCAGCTATAAAAACAAAATTCTTTGAGGATCTCAGTAATTAAGAGTGTAGAGGCCCTAGCCCTAACCAGTTTGGCTCAGTGGATAGGGTGTCAGCCCTCGGACTGAAGGGTCCCACGTTCAATTCTGGTCAAGGGCACATACCTGGGTTGCAGGTTCAATCCCCGTCCCCAACCCCCAATCAGGGCTCAAGCAAGAAGCAACTAATGTGTCTATCTCGCATAGATGTTTCTCTCTCTCCCCACCCTCATCCACTCTCTCTAAAAATCAAAGGAAAAATATCCTCAGATGAGGATTAACAACAATAAAGTACAGAGGCCCTAAAACTAACAGTTTGAGAACCACTGCTATGGACCACAGATATAAAGCCCTGCTCTTAGAGCAGACCTTAACTGGGAGAGACAAGTAAAAAAAGTTAATTTATGGCATGTCAGATGGTGGTAAGCAATACAGAGAAAATCCATCAGGGAAGACAGAGAGTGCCAGTGTGGAGGAGGGGTTGTACAAATTTAAGTAGGTGAACTTCGGAGCAGACATGAAGGAGTGGGCGGCACAGCACCCCTCCATGGTCATGTATCTAGCCACCAATTACTGAGTTTCTGGTATGTGCCGAGTTCCTTTGCATATTCTTTCACTGGATCCTCATAAAACTCTTACCTACATTCTCCAAACTCTCCAGAACACCATCGTTTCCCCAGCCTATCTTTTAAACCAGACTGACTACACCTCTCCAAACCAGAGCTCCAGGACAGCCCCTGCCCGACACCGCAGGGGGGACAGGACCCCATGCCACAGTAAGAGATTATGGGCAGGAGATGAAATCTGGCTCCTGTGGCCCAGACCCGGGCCTTGGTGTTTTGTTTGGCTCGCACGATGTTTCTAAAACCCACGAAAAATACGGATTTACAGCTTCTTTTGATCAATTCTAAGGCCTGGGCCCACGTCCTTCCTGCCAGGCGCGCCCTTTTCCCGGCCTGTATTGTCTGGTCCTGACACCCGGGGCCGGGCATTACTCCCCAGTGTTTTAGGTACAGGGAGGACATACTGGTATCCAGTTGGGAACAGAAGCTGAGCCTCCTCCACACCTCTGAGCCTCTGGTTCCACACAGCACTCAGCAGAGAGGGCCCTTACAATCTCGGGGGCCCCATGGGCTCTCTGGTCATGCTACTGAGTGGGGAGGGTGGCATATGGGCCCCAAGCAGCCTGAGGTAGAAACAGAGCTCCTTTCCAGGCACCCACATCACCCACAGAAGGGCAGAATGGAAGGCAGTGGGGCCCCACTGAGCTGAGACTCTGCGGGTGAATTAATATTGCAGTTTGCCCAGAACCACTTTCACTTAAAACCTGATGCTGATGACCCTTGGGACACCACAGGAAAGTCCACTTTTCTCTACTTTTAAGGTTGAAATGGAGGAAGCTCCTATGGCTACTGGGTTTCCTGAGAGGACGTAGATACAATGGCTGCTCACAGCCTACTTCAGAGGTGGGCTGGATCAAGGCCGCTTGAAAGACCCAGGCCTATGAGGTCTCCAGAGCATGAAGAATCTGCCCCAACAGGAGCCTGAGGGCCACTCTGGAGTTTTGGACTCAGCAGAGGCATCATTCCAGCCAGCCTCTAAGGGCATTCTCAGTACGTGGGCTGTCCCATCTGGTTCTGGTGGAAGGGGGAAAGGAACGGGACAGGTAAACCCCCAAGAAGCCCTTTGTCCTCAAGAACAGCAGGATGCTTTGGGCTGAACGGCCCATGGAAATTCAGGGCAAGTAGGTCTGGTCTCTCCTAGAAACAGGACTGACAGGCTCAGTCCCTGGAACCTTGCCTTTCGTCCATAGTCTACAGAGTGAGGGGAGGTGTGTGCACAGGCCCTGGTCTCTTGAGGTCTGCAAAGGGACACTCCCTTCACTCCTCTGCCCTCATGCCCAAGGCTAAAACTTTAATCTTGTTTAAAGACAGTAAGAGGCCGAAACCGGTTTGGCTCAGCGGTAGAGCGTTGGTCTGAGGACTGAAAGGTCCCAGGTTCGATTCCGGTCAAGGGCATGTATGTTGGTTGCAGGCACATCCCCGGTAGGGGGTGTGCAAGAGGCAGCTGGTCGCTGTTTCTCTCTCATCGATGTTTCTAGATCTCTATCTCTCTCCCTTCCTCTCTGTAAAAAATCAATAAAAAATATAAAAATATAAAAGTTAAAAAAATAAAGACAGTAAGAGAATAAATCCATTAAATGGGTGAGCCTTCACCCTCACCCACTGCTTCCCATCACCTTCCTCTCTGCCTTCTAGATTCTTTTTAAAAAAATATTTTTATTGATTTCAGAGAGGAAGGAAGAGGGAGAGATAGAACCATCAATGAGAGAGAATCGTTGATCAGCTGCCTCCTGCACACCCCTTACTAGGGATTGAGCCCACAACCCGGGCACGTGCCCTTGATCAGAATCAAACTGGACCTTTTAGTTCACAGACCGATGCTCTATCCACTGAGCCAAATCTGCTAAGGCTGCCTTCTAGATTCTTTAGGACCCAGACCCAATCCCTCCTCAAATCACATTTGTAGAGTTCTTAAGGCATGCACTCCAGATAGCACCACACACCCAGGTCTGTTTTATTGTAGCACTTAGTACACCCTAATATTCTTACTCTTCAGCTGATGTTTACTATCTACCTCACCCCACTAGCCTGTCACCTCCTTAGGCAGGGATAGCAGATGTCCTGATCATCACTCCAACCCTAGTGCCCAGCACTTAGTAAATGCTCGATAAATACTATTTGAATGATAAATGAGTGAACTTCCCCCACAGGCACTTCCCATCATTAGGCAGAATTAAGGTTATGGAAAAGGGTTCCCAGGGCTGCCTGAGTTAAATCCCAGCTCCAGCTCTGTGTGCTTAGATGAGCTACTTAGTCTCTCTATGCCTGTTTTCGAGTGGAAAATGTGGACGTAAGGACTCCGTGGGAGAATATGTAATGCCCTGGCAAGTCATAGACTTTCTCCGTTAAAATCTATCACCCCACCCTGGTCAAGCAAAAGAGTTACCAGCTTACAGACTAGACCCAAAGAGGCTGACTTAGAATTGCAGCTCTGTTACCAGCTGTACAAGTCACTTTGCCTCTCTGGGCCTCTGTAAAATGACAGTAGCAGAATCTACTCACACAATTGTGGGATCTAAGTGAGTTAATCCCCATAAACCTGGCACATAAGAGATCCTTTATAAGTTGTTACGTACAGAAATTTTACTTACTATTACTGGTAAAATAAGTCTTATAGAACCCTGCCTCTCTCTCCATTACCCACTCTTCTTTATTTCCAAGCACTGGATAGTATGTGCTGTATTTATCTTGTCTCCCTCACTGGATTGCAAGTTCCACAAGGGAAAGAATTTGATAATTTTCTTTACTGCTGCATTTCCAAGGCACCAAACAACACCTGGTATCTGTTAGGTGCTCATTAAATATTTGCTGTTAAAGGAATGGATGGACGGATGGACGGATGGAAGGAAGGATCCTCCCTCTGTCAGTCATTTCAGACACCAGTGCTAACGAGCTTCCAAGTGGGGACTCCAGGTTGCACACCGGGGAGCCTGCGCAAGCCATCCCCAACCCCATCCCCGGCTTCTCCCTTGCCCCACCCAACATACTTCCTGTTATGGTGATCCTCCGGCCCTGGTAGTATTCTCCCAGGGTCACAGCATTGCCCTGCTTAGTGGCTACAACCCTGACAGTGCGCACACTGTCCTGACACTCCACATAGGGGTTGTAGCCCGGGTTACCAGCTGCCAGCTGGGCATTGAGCTGGTTGTCAACACTGGCTGGAGAAAAGGCATCGGCGATGCGGTCCCGGCAGAAAGACTTGTACTTCCAGATCACGATGGGTGCTGTGGGGGTCGTGGTCAACTGGTAGGTGCAGGGCAGGGTCACGGGCTGGAAGAGGATCACCACGTGGTAGGGGTCTGACACAGTCACCTGGATGGCACTGGCAGGAGCTGAGGGCAAGAGGAGAGTCAGTAGGGACCACTAGGAACAGTTGCTTCAGCAGAAATAAGCAACAACCTTTGTCACCAACTTGACACTTACAAGGGTATTGTTTTATAGAGCCTGGCACATACTGCTGCTTAATCCTCAGGACTGTGAGGCAGCTCTGATAACCATACCCATTTTATAGACCATGGGGCTGAAGTGACAGGTGCAAAGTCAGATGGCCAGATTTCTTGGAACATCCCGCCCACCTCTCTTCCCAGAGTGTGTCCTCTGAACCACACTGGCCCCTCTCCCCTTGCCCATTCTCTCGCAGAAAGGGCTCCTCTCTGTGGCCCATTCAGGCAACTGCTAAAGTGCTGGAGGCCCCACCTCAGAGCCATTGTTCCAAATTACCGCAACTTTTGTGGGCTGGAGGGTTAATTTTTGAGTTGTCTGACTGAGATGCTTTGTCACAGAGTAGCGAAAGCCCAACCATGTCTCCATCAGCCTCCCATCTCACCCTACCCAAAGCCATTTCGAATAAACATGCCAAGAGTGCTTGCAGAAAGATAAGATTCCCCCAACGCCCCCACCCAAACATTGGATCCAGGCAAAACTTGCCAGCAGAAGATAGTTTCAAACCAAGTCCTTCTAGAAGTCCATCCTATCAGACCCTAACGCACAGATAAGGGTCGAGCCTGAGGGTCATGGGTGGGGAGTCCCCAATCCCACACCCACCAGAAGCCTGGACACTGTGTCTTCATCTCGAGCGCCCGCTCCCCGCCGCTCTGGGACTTAGAAATGTCCGCGTGCGCTCAAGCCCCCTCCCCGGCCTTCCCCGCAGGTCGGGTGGTCCCTTCACCCCCGCCTTACAGAGTTTCATTCTCCTGGCCGCTCCAGGGTGTTCGGTCCGGAGTTTCACTTCCTGCTACCTCCGACAAGGGCGTGGGGCCGCTTCCAGCGCGAGCGGGGTGATTCCCCCACACCGGGGCACAGGGATCTCGGGGACCCTGGGGATCGGAAGGTCCCGGCCTCCCCGATTCCCCTCCCCCCGCTCCCCTGCCTCCCGGGAGGTGTAGAACTTCATTCATCCCGTCTCTACAAGGCGCTCCCGCCCGTCCGCGGCTCCAGGGCCCCGCGCTCCGTACCTGCGCACAAAGTGCCAAGAAAGAGCCACACAAAGACGACCGCGCCCCGGCCCGGAGCGCCCGGGCAGGAGCCCAGCGGCCAGCGCCGGCCACGAGCCCTTGGCGCCATCGCGGCCGTCTGGGCACGTCCGGTCCGCGCGTCCCCGGCCGGGTACCCGGAGGGTAGGGGGCGCGGCGCGCACCAAGGCGGGGAGGGGGACATGCTCCTCCCCCTCCCGGTTCCGTTCTTTGTCCCTATTCCAAGCCCACCCTGCCCAGTTCTGGGGACTTCACGAGCGGAGACGGCGTGGATGAAGAACACTTCCAGCTTTCGAGGAGAAACTTGCTTCACTCGCTGTGTTTCTCCTAGTCACTCCACCCCCGTGCGCTCTGGGAATGGACCGGCCCAGGTACACAGAGGGAGCCGAGAGGGTTGGGCGAGGGGGTGGGCGGTGAAAGGGGCCCCTCCACCTCCCTGCCCGGAAGTGGGCTGGCCCAGGTGCGCGCCGGCCCTTGGGGTCGGAACCAAGTCCCCGCCCGGCCGGAGCGCGCCTGTGCACCCGGGATCGCGTCCGCCCCGCTTCTGCTCGCGCGGAGTGTGACTCACGGGAACTGCGGCTGAGCTGGGGTGACTCACCTGTTGAGGGGGCAGGATCCCTGTGCGCACCTGTTCCCTCTCTCCCCTCTGCCCTGGTGGCGGTGGACCCGCCGGGATACACCCTGCGAGGCGGGACCAGGGAGTCCCGGTGGACGAGTTGCTCTCGTGCCTTTCACTTAATTTTTTAAAATTGACTGATAGACTGATTTGAGAGAGAGGATAAGAGATGAGGGGGGAATAACATCGGTTTGTTGTTCCAGTTATGGGGATCAGAGGGTTTGGAGACGACGCTCTAACCAACTGGCCTCCCTGGCCAGTGCCAAGCCTGTAACTTACTGCATCTGCCTTTAAAAAGTAAGCGAGGCTCCTGAAAGGGACGCTCTACTGCTTTTGGGAAGCCCAAGGGAATCAGGCCCAGGAAAAGTTGGAATTCTACTTCCGAAGTTTTCTCCGCCTCCCTCCATTCCCATCTCGTGGGCTGGCCCCGGGGGCATCGCTTGCCCCAAGTCAGGCCTCCGGAAACTCTCGCTCTCAAAGGGGCCCGGCGGAGGCGCGGGACTAGACGGGTTTTCGGCTAAGATTCCCAAGAACTGGACCACCTGCGCGCTAGGCGGAGAGGGCGAGGCCACCCGAGCGCCGGGCGCTCGGCGAGGCTCTGCTGCCGCCCGATGGCGGGTAGGGGAAGCGCGTCCTGGGAAACACTGCGCTTCCTGCTAGACTCTGGAGATCCTTAACTGGCTGGCCCTTGCGGTGACCAGGGATGTTTTGTTAAAACTCAAGTAGGATCATGTACCTCTGCTCAACACCTTCCTGTGGCTCCCAGCAGAAACCAAAATACTTAACTGTGGCCAGCTCCCTCTCAGACCTCACCCCCTCTCACTCAGTCACCCTGGCCTCCCCTATTGCAGAATGTGTCTCTCACACTCCCACTCAGGCCATTGCCCTCTACTGGGACACCCTTCCTCCATCTCCTTTAGGGCTTCACCTAAAGGTCACCTCTCCATTAACCTCTCCCCTGGCCATTTTATATGAAATTTCAAGGTCCTTTCCCAACTTTCACATCCACTCTATAAAAAATATATTTTTGTGGTAAAAATATACATACCAAAATATGTATGTACTGGAGGCCCGGTGCAAGAAATTTGTGCACAGGGAGTGGACGTGTGTTCCTCAGCCCAGCCTGCACCCTCTCCAATCTGGGACCCCTCAAGAGATGTTTAAGCACAAACCCACCAGGATCAGGCCTAAATGGGCAGTTGGACATCCCTCTCACAATCCAGGACTACTGGCTCCCAATCGCTGGTCTGCCTGCCAGCCTGATCACCCCTAACTACTTCCCCACCAGCCTGATCAACATCTACAATAACTGCTCTCCTGCTGGCCCAATTGCCCCTAACTGCCCTCTCCTACAGCCCTGGTTGCCCCCAATTGCCCTCCCCTGTAGGCTTGGTCCTACCGCCCCCCCCCCCCCAAAATGCCCTCACTTCAGGCCTGGTCCCCCAACCCCCAAAAAGATGCCCTTCCCTGCAGGCCTGATTCCCTGCAACTGCTTTCCCCTGTAGACCTGGTCCCTTCCAACTGCCCTCCCCCGCAGGCCTGGTCCCCCCAACTACCTTCCCCAGCGACCCAGGATGTCAAGCCTTCCCACCCATCTCCCACTCTGCTCTGGGGTGATCCAGGATACCAAGCCTTCCCCCCAACTTCCCCACTCTCCCAGTCGCTGGGGCAATCCAAGCCTTCCATCTCCCTCTCTGCTCTCCAGTCAGGCTTGACATCTTGGATCACTGGGGTGACTCAGGACTCCAAGCCAGTGCTGCCATTTTGGCCTGGCAATTTGCATATTCCCTCCTTATTGGCTATGGACATGGCCATTTTTATTGGGAAGTGATGGTTAATTTGCATGTTACTCTTTTATTACATAGGATCATTTAACCATTTTTTAAAATATATTTTATTGATTTTTTACAAAGAGGAAGGGAAAGAGATAGAGAGCTAGGAACATCGATGAGAGAGAGACATCGACCAGCGGCCTCTTGCATACCCCCTACCGGGGATGTGCCCGCAGCCAATGTACATGCCCTTGACCAGAATCAAACCTGGGACCCTTCAGTCCGCAGACCAATGCTCTACCACTGAGCCAAACCGGTTTTGGCATAGGATCATTTAACCATTTGTAAGTGCACAATTCAGCATTAATTACATTCACAGTGTGTATACTACACCACTATACCGGTATGTTCATCACCCTAAACTTTTTCACCATCCCCAATATAAACTATGACCCCATCCCCTGGTTATCTCTATATTCTATTTTCTTTATCAAATTGCTTATTCTAGGTACCTCATATAAGTGGAATCAGAACATTTGTCCTGTGTCTGGCTTATCCACTAAGCATAAAATTTTCAAGTCCATTCATGTTGTAGTATATATCACAAAGCATCATTCCTTTTTATGGCTGAAATAGTATTTCACGGAGTGTATATGCCAACTTTTGTGTGTCCATTTATTTGTTGTTAGACCCTTGGATTGTTTTCATCTTTTGGCTATTTATTATAAGTAATGCTGCTGTGAGTTTTGCTGTACAGATGTCTGCTTTTGTTTTTTTGGATATATACCTAGGAGTGTAATTCCTATCTCATATCTGTAGGGGAGCTCAGAGATGCAGTATGTCTCCGGCAGTAAAGGTGTCTGGGAAATGTTGGACTCTCTGTTTAACTTTCTGTGACTGTTTAACTCTCTGTAGCCTCAGATTTGGCTGACTTCCCAGAAAGCAGTACTGCCACCCAAAGATAAATGTCAGACCCCAGGAAGGGAATTGATGAATATCTGGAGTGAGGATAATTGCCTGCTGTTATCTGCTAACTTAGAAATGCATTATTCTTTCTGGTAGTCTAGATGACTACCCACCATGTGGTTTTACTATTCAATCTCCTATATAAAAAAAAAAAAATAGACCTTGTCCTGGGAAGGGATGGCTCTCTTCCAGGCCAGCCACCACTGGGAGCAAACAGCTGCTTTGCCCTGTTTAAAGCTCTTATGAATTTGAATAAGGTTACATGTCAGTTCTTTGGAATCAATCCTGAATTTAGACGTTTGGGGCTTTTCCTCAATAGTGTTGCAGTTTTATTTTTTATCCTGAGGAACTGTCAAACTGTTTTCCACATTGCTGTACCTTTTAGATTATATTACAGCAGCGCAGGAGGGTTCCAAACTCTCCACATCCTTGGACCAACACTTGTTTTCATTTTCATTTCACTGAAAACTAATTATGTTGACAATCTATTCATGTACTTATTGGCCATTTGTATATCTTCTTTGGAGAATGTCTATTCAAATATTTGCCCATTTTTTAATTAGGTTGTTTTGTTGTTGTTGATGTTGAGTTGTAGTTCTTTTATATTCTGAATATTAATCACTTGTCCAGAATATAATCTGCAAATATTTTTCCCATTATGTAGGTTATTATTTCACTTTCTTGATAGTGTTCTTTGTTGCACATAGTTCTTAATATGATGAAGTTCAATTTATTTTTTTCCTTTTGTTGCCTATACTTTTAATATTTTTTTAATCTTAATAAATCTTTATCGTTCAGATTATTACTATTGTTTCTCCTCCCCCCCTATAACTCCCCTCCGCCTGGTCCTCACTCCACCCTTTGCCCTTACCTCCTCCTCCCTCACCCCCTTCCGCTGCCTCATCCATAGGTGTATGATTTTTGTCCAATCTCTTCCCATACCCCCCACACAGACACACCTTCCCCCTGAGAATTATCAATCCACTCCCATTCTATGCCCCTGATTCTATTATATTCACCAGTTTATTCCGTTCCTCAGATTTTTAATTCACTTGACTTTTATTTTATTTATTTATTTATTTTTTTTACTTTTTAATTCACTTGACTTTTAGAATCACTTGTTGATAGATATGTATTTGTTGTTCATAATTTTTGTCTTTACTTTTTTCTTCTTTTTCCTCTTTTTAAAGAACACATTTTAGCATTTCATATAATAATGGTTTGGTGGTGACATACTCCTTTAGCTTTTTCTGATCTGTGAAGCTTTTTATCTACCCTTCAGTTCTGAATGGTAACTTTGTTGAATACAGTAATCTTGGTTGTAGGTTCTTGCTATTCATCACTTTGAATATTTTTTGCCACTTCCCCCATCTGGCCTGCATAGTTTCTGTTGAGAAATCAGCTGATAGTTGTATGGGTGCTTCATTGTAGGTAATTAACTGTTTTTCTCTTGCTGCTTGTAAGATTCTCTCTGTCTTTTGCTCTTGGCATTTTAATTATACTGTGTGTTGGTGTGGTCCTCTTTGGATTCCTTTGTTTGGGGTTCTATGCACTTCTTGGACTTGTAAGTCTATTTCTTTCACCAGGTGGAGGAAGTTTTCTGTCATTATTTCTTCAAATAGATTTTCAGTGTCTTGCTCTTTCTCTTCTTCTAGCACCCCCATAATTCTGATGTTGGTTCGCTTGAAGTTGTCCCAGAGGCTTCTTACACTATCTTCAACTTTCTGTATTCTCTTCTTGCTTCTGTGGAGGAGTGTCCCTTTCCTCTTTGTATTCCAGCTCTTTGACTTGTTTCTTGCATTCTTCTAGTCTGCTGTTGGATCTCTGTATAATATTTTTTATTTCAGTCAATGTATGTTTCATTTCTAGTTGGTCCTTTTTCATATCCTCAAGGGTCTCGTTAAATTTATTGGCCTTTTCTAGAGAATTCTTGAAAAACCTTATAACCATGGTTTTGAACTCTATATCCAGTCTTTTGTTCTCCTCCATTTTTTTTGTTTGAGATGTGTTTCCTTTTCACTGTTTCTCTGAGTTGATAAGGTTGCTTTGTGGGCCTGGGTGTTCTAAATGGTTCAATGGGTCAGCCTCACAGTTGCCTGATGTGGATACTCTTGGTGCACCTCTTTGTGGATTATGTGTACAGCCGTGTTGTAGTTAAGTCTTGATTGCTGTTGGTGTCACTGAGAGGAATTGACCTCCAGGCCAACTGGGGTGGGGACCCACTGTGTCTATAATGGAAGAATTGCTGTGCTGGAGACACATGTATGAGGCGGGGGGGGGGGGGGGGGGGGGGAGACACTTGTTCCCGTAGGGTTTTGGTGTTCACTGAGTCTGTCTCTTGAACATGTCCCTTATGAGAGTAGTTGAAATCTGGTGTCGTCTCACACTGACCACTAGATACACTAGTTTCCGGCAATTGGGTGCAGTTCAGCTACTGTCTGAGGCCACCCAGCAGGAGCTACCGCAAGAACTACAGTTTTGTCCTCTTTGCTTGGGATTTGGTGGTTTTGTTGCTGGAGTTGCAATTTCCAGGCCATTTATATGCAAAAGCAGCTGTGTGGTGCCTGGGTGGGTCTGTAGAATGTGTGGGGCAGGGCCTCAGGGTGGGGCTTCAGGGTGGGGTGGGGTCTCAGGACGTCACTAGGCTGGGGCGTGGCAAACAGCAATGGCTGCTGTCAGCCTTCTCTGCCCTTCTATGTTTCCAAGTCCCCGCATTTCCAAGTCCCTGCGTCCCTGCAATCCAGCGCAGTAAACAATAATTGCTGCACACACCTCTGCAAGAGAGTCACCCTCACTTTTGGACCCGATGGCCAACAGACCAGCTTCTCCCCATAGATGTCTGGGTCCCCCGCGTGACCCCAGAAACTGGATCGGGAGCTTGTTTCCCTTTGGGTTGAAAAAAAGCCTCGTGCCCAGTCGCCTGCCACCAGCCCTATTTGCGTGCCTCCATACCTAGGCTCCTCAGCTTTTCATCGCTGTACTCCTTTCTCTTTCAGCCAGCCTTCCCGTGTATTTGGGTGATAGATGTCCTGTATATTAGTTGTAGTTTTGAAATTGTTGTGCGAGGCGGCAGACCAGTTGTTTACCTACGCCGCCATCTTGGTTTCTCTGTGCTTTTAATATTATAGCTATGAAATTACTGTTAAATATGAGGTCATTAAGATTTCCCCCAATATTTTATTATAAGAGTTTTATAGTTTTAGCTCTTACGTTAGGTATTTGATAAACTTTGAGTTAATTTTTATATACGGTATAAGGAAAGGGTTCAGATTCATTCTTTTGCATGTGATTATCCAGTTTTCCCATCACTATATGTTGAAAAAACTGTCCTTTACCCTTTGGATGATATTAACATCCTTGTCAAAAATAAATTTACCATATATCTGAGGGTTTATTTCTGGATTCTCTAGTCCAGTGGTCGGCAAACTGTGGCTCATGAGCCATATGCGGCTCTTTGGCCCCTTGAGCGTGGCTCTTCCACAAAATACCATGGCCTGCAGGAGTCTATTTTGATGAAGTAGTGTTAGAAGAAGTTTAAGTTAAAAAAAATTTGACTCTCAAAAGAAATTTCAATCTTTGTACTGTTGGTATTTGGCTCTGTTGACTAATGAGTTTGCCAACCACTGCTCTAGTCTATTCCATTGGTCTATATCTCTGCCCTTCTGACAGCCCTTTATTAAAACTTTTTGTAAGTTTTGAAATGGGAAATGGAAATCCTCTAATTTTATTCTTCTTTTTCAAGGTTGTTTTGGCTGTTCAGGGTTCATTGTAATTTCATATGAATATTAAAATTTGCTTCCATTTCTTTAGAAAAGGCTGTTTGAATTTAGATAGGCATTGTGTTGAATCTATCTGAATGTACTTTTAGTGGTGTTGCCATCTTAATAATGTTAAGTCTTCCTAATTATGAACACAGAATGTCTTTCCAGTTATTTCAATATTCTTTAATATCTTTCAGCAATTTTATAGTTTCAGCATACAAGTCTTCACTTCCTTGGTTAGATTTATTCCTAACTAATTATTTTAGACTAGAGGCCCAGTGCATGAAATTCGTGCACTGGAGAGGGTGACCCTTAGCCCAGCCTGCACCCTCTCCAATATGGGACCCCTTTGGGGATGTCCAACTGCAGATTTAGGCCCTATCCCATAGGCCTAAACCTGCAGTTGGACATTCCTCTCACAATCTGGGACCACTGGCTCCTAACTGCTCACCTGCCTGCCTGATTGCCCCCAACTACCCTCCCTTGCTGGCCTGATCACCCCCAATGCTTTTATTACAATAGTATAGATATGACCCTACACAGAAAATTTTACTAACCCTGCTTTACAATAAGGGCTTGATGATTAAGGTGACCAGACGTCTCGCTTTTGGCGGGACAGTCCCAATTTTTAACAATTTGTCCCGCATCCCGCGGCTTTTAAAGAAGTCCTTTTTTTAAAACGCCGCAGGACACAGGACAAATTGTTAAAAATCGGGATTGTCCCACCAAAAGAGGGACATCTGGTCACCTTACCCTATAACCTACACCAAGTTATTTAATAACATGAACTGAATTGTACTCCTGGAAGTGTGGTGGATCAAGTTTCATTCTACTTCCCAGGGCTGATGACTGAGTTCTATGGGTGACTTCACAATCCCGAGGGTGATTCTGAGTCTTGGGCTACCATGGTGACCACCCTGTTGCTGCTTAGCCTTTCTCTCCCCACTTTGTGGACCCAGCTATTAGTCAGCTGCTCCTACAAGAGTCTCTGCCAGTAGGCTCTACTCTCTCAGGCAATGATTCTGTCTTGCAATGTGACCATCCCAAGGCCCTCTGGTACTTCCCTTACCGGTCTCCTCAGTACCTATACCTAATGTAAAGAAACTGCCTGGAGGTAGCTTCCAACCCTCAGCCCTCCCATACAGGCCTCTAACTCTGCCAGGACAATGACAGTGCCCTCGTGGTGGAGTATGAGCTTGACTTCCAGGATGTCACCACCACATATTACACACAAAGGTCTAGGCAAAGAGCCCCTGAAGAATGAGACCTAAGGCTGGGTGGCATTGTACTCATCTTCACCCACTGGGAGCCCTAGCAGGACTGTGCCTTCTGTGGGGAACCAGGTGAGCACAAATGTCTTGAGTGCTACTATGTTGAGGAGACCCTAGAAAAAAAACCATGCCCAGTTAACTATATCCAAGGGCAGAAATGATGCAATACAACTGCATGTGGCCTGAGTTGCAGGTGGAAGCCTGCCTTGTACCCTGTGGCCACTTCAAGGAAACCAACCAGCCATACTTCATTTTTGACATTTATCAGTTGGGCAAGTTGACCAGCAACATGTGGCTCACCTGCCCCGTGGCTTCCATCTATAGATGACTGGATCAGGGCATAAGCCTTCATGGTCAGTCTTTGCAGGAGGGATTTTTTCACTGGCTTGGTTAGATGTTCATTCAGGCACTAGGTGGTTGATGTTGTCCCTAGTCCCTGCCTTTTCATAGGCTCCTAATATTCAGGGGAGACCACATATAAAACAAAGAAACCAAGACACTCTGGCCCGTGCTTATGACAACATAAACACTACTGTGATTTCTGTCTCCTATGGGGCTCTAATTTATATGATTGGTCTATCCATCCTTGCACCAATGCCACCATAATTTAATTATTATGTCTTCATAATAGGTCATGATATCTTGTAGTAAAGATTTTCCAACTTTGTTCTTCAATATTGTCTTGGTTACTCTTGGCCTTTGAACACAATTTTTGAAATCAGCTTCCATTACTTAGGCTTTCTTTGACTTCTAATGATGTGCAGTTATTAATGAAGAGGTCTTACACATGTTTTATTGTATTTATTCCTAGGTATTTGATCTCTTATGCTATCACAAATTGTGTCTTTTAAATTTCATCCTTTAATTGTTTGTTGTTTGTATACAAAAATATATTTGATATTTGTATATAACCTTCTATCAAATTATTTTGCTAAATTCACATACTTCTAGTAAAATGCTGAATGGGGACGTTGATGCAGACCTGCTTATGTTATTCTTAATATCTCATTATTAAGAATAATTCTGCACTAGGTTTTTAATAGAAAACTTTATAAAATTAAGAAAAGATCATATTATCACTAGTTTGCCAAGACTTTTGAGCCATGAATGAGTGTTGAATTTTATTAAATACTTTTTCTGCAGCAGTATCAGTAGAAATAATATAATTTTTCTTCTTTATTATGTTAATGTGGTGAATTACATTAGTTGATGTTTATATGTAATCCCAACCTAACTTCCTGTATTAACCCAGTTTGGTTATGATGTGTATCCTTTTGATGTATCATTGGAGGCAGTTGACTAATATTTTGTTTTTGGTTTTTTTTGTTTGTTTTTTTTTAAATATATTTTATTGATCTTTTACAGAGAGGAAGGGGGAGAGAGAGCTAGAAACATTGATGAGAGAGAAACATCGACCAGCTGCCTCCTGCACACCCCCTACCGGATTGTGCCCACAACCAACGTACATGCCCTTGACCGGAATCGAACCCGGGACCCTTCAGTCCGCAGGCCGATGCTCTATCCACTGAGCCAAACCAGCTTCAGCGACTAATATTTTGTTTAGGAGATTGTGTCCATGTTCATGAAAGAGGTTGTTCTGAGGTCTTCCTTTGTTGTAATATCCTTTTAAGGTTTCAGTATCAAGTTGATGCAGGCCTCATTGAAGTTTAGAACGGTTCCATTTTTTTTCTATTTCTGGAATGGTTTTGAAAAATTGATGTCTTAATTAACAATTGATATCTTAATTAACTATTAAGAAATGTTTATAGCCGAAACTGGTTTGGCTCAGAGTATAGTGCATCGGCCTACAGACTGTAAGGTCCCAGGTTCGATTCCAGTTAAGGGCATGTACCTTGGTTGTGGGCACATGCAAGTAGGGGGTGTGCAAGAGGCAGCTGATCAATGTTTTTCTCTCATCGATGTTTCTAACTCTCTATCTCTCTCTCTTCCTCTCTATAAAAACTCAATAAAATATATATATATATTTTAAATGTTTATAATAATTCACTGGGAAAAGTTTCTGAGCTTAGAGGGTTTTTGTACAGTTTTTTCCCCTTTTTATTGAATTTATTTCAGTGACACTGGTTGACAAAATTATACAGGTTTCAGGTGCATAGTTCTACAACACATCATCCCTACTCTATATTGCCTGTTCACCACCCCAAGTCAGGTCTCTATCCATCACCATTTCCCCTCATACACTCCTCCATCTCCTTCCAATCCCTTCCCCTCCTGGCAATTACCACACTGTGTCCATGAGTTTTTTCTCTTTTTTTGCTCAATCCCTCTATCCTCTCCAGATCTCCCCCCAATAGCTGTCAGCCTGCTCTCAATGAGACTATCATTATTTGCTGTTAGTTCATTTTCTTCATTAGATTCCATATATGAGTGAAATCATATGGTACTTGTCTTTCTTTAACTGGCTTATCTTAATTTACCATAATGCTAACCAGGTCCATCTATACTGTCGCAAAAGGTAAGATTTTTTTTCTTTGTTATGGCTGAGTAGTATTCCACTATGTAAACGTACCACAGCTTTTCCCCCCACTCATCTACTGATGGACACTTGGCCTGCTTCCATAGCTTGGCTATCCTATATAATAAAAGGCTAATATGCAAATTGACCAAACGGTGGAATGATCAGTTGCTATGACATGTACTGACCACCATGGAGTAGACGCTTCCCCCTGGTGGTCAGTGCGCTCCCACATGGTGAGTACCACTCAGCCCGAAGCAAGGCTTCTCTAAGCTGTCAGTCTGACACCCCACGAGGGCTCCTGGACTGTGAGAGGATACAGGCCAGGCTGAAGGACACCCAAGTGCATGAATTTCATGCACCAGGCCTCTAGTTGTAAATAATGCTTCAATGAACAGAGGGTTGCATATATTCTTTCAAATTAGTGTTTCAATTTTTATCAGATAAATTCCCAGATGTGGAATCACTGGGTCTTAAGGAAGTTCCATTTTTAATATTTTGAGGTAATGCCATACTACTTCCACAGTGGCTGTAACAATTGGCATTCCCACCAGCAGTACACAAGGGTTTTCTTCATATCCTCACCAACACTTGTTTGTTGATTTATTGGTGATAGCCATTCTGATAGGCATGCAGAGATATCTCCTGGTGATCTGAATTTGCATTTTACTGAAGATTAATAGCATTAAACACCTTTTCATATGTCTGTTGACCATCTGTATGTCTTCTTTGGAAAAGTGTCAATTCAGATTCTTTGCCCATTTTTAAATTGGATTGTTTGTTTTCTTGGTGTGAGTTATATAAGTTCTTTATACATTTCGGAAATGAACCTCTTATCAGATGTATTATTAGCAAATATGTTCTCTCACTCAGGGGTTGTCTTTTCATTTTGTTAATGGTTTCCTTTGCTGTGCAAAAGCTTTTTAGTTTGATGTAGTCCTATTTAGTTATTGTTGTTTCCCTTGCTAAAGGAGATATATCAGAAAAAAATGTCATGAGAAATGTCCAAGATTTTATTGTCTATGTTTTCTTCTAGGATTTGTATCATTTCAAGTCTTACATTTAAGTCTTTAATCCATTTTGAGTTTATTCTTGTGTATGATGTAAGAAGGTGGTATAGTTTTATTTTTCTTCATTTTTTGCATGTATCTGTCCAATATTCCTAACACCACTTATTGAATAGACTGTCTTTAGCCCATTGTATGTTTTTGCCTTCTTTGTCAAATATTAATTGACTATAAAGGGGTGGCTTTAATTCTGGGCTCTCTATTCTGTTCCATTGGTCTAAATGTCTATTTTTATGCTGTTTTTTTTATTATTGTGGCTTTGTAGTATAGTTTGATATTAGGTAATGTGATTACTCCAACTTTATTCTTCTTTCCAAGATCGCTATTGCTACTCGGGGTCTTTTGTGGTTCTATATAAATTTTTGGAATATTTGTTCTAGTTCTGTGAAATATGCCATTGGTATCTTGATAGGAATTGTGTGGAATCTATAGATTGCTTTAGGTAATATGGACATTTTAATTATGTTGATT